ATTGTGGGAAAAATTCAACTACCAGTCCCTTTTTCATCATAAATGAAATGAGGTGAATATGCTTCATATAGAAATGACTTATCGGTAGTCTCTAAAAGCCACTTGTAAACGAAGCAGCATTTATTTGTCTTTTCGAGGTCACGACTTTCGGGAGCTGTGTCGGCTTGGACTGCGAGAGGTATAGCCTCTACTCAATTACTGCCTACTTGCGTTTGAGCAAAGAGAGATGAAAAAGATACAGAAAGAATGCTGGGCTCACCTTCAAGAGGCGATTGCAGGTGATACGAAGCAGCGTCAAGAGAGCCGCCAAAATAATTACCACCACTCCGAGACGGTAGTGCGACAGAGTGTCAGTCACCAGGGCCCAGGCGAAACTGGAGTCGAAGGGATATTGTCCTTTCGTGTCCAAGCCGAACTCGCTGAGGGCAATCCAGGTCTGTAAGAGGAACTGGCGAAATCCAGGGATGGCACAGGCCTCTTGAACAGCCTCAGGCCAATTGGTCACGCCGTAGGACCACTCATCGTCTCGACTGAGGAGCAAGTCGGCTTTGGACGACTCGAGCTCATCCGCCGGTGGAAGTGGACTCGTCGACGTCAGCCTATCGGAGGAGACGGAGGCGGATGAGGCTGCATCTGCGTCTGCACAACCGGCCGTATCGACGGACGGCGAAGGACAGAATTGCTGCGATCCGACGGACCTGGAGAGAGACGAAACGGGCATCTCATGATGCGCCGAGTCAGCGGAGGCTGTGGGCTGGAGGAGGCTCGTGAGCAAAATGACGACGAGGAGACACCAGAGCCTGAAAGAGGACAAAAGTGCACGAGGATTGAGGCATTTGGACGAAGGAATCAAAGGCTTGTGTCGGGCCGATTGAGGAGAATACAAATGAACCCCTCTTCTACAAGGCTCCATCAACAACTTCGAGCCAGATTCACTGAGGCCAAACGATGATTCTCTTACGGCCAACTCCTCATGGTCCGAGCTTCTTATGAGGTCGTCAAAAAAGCAGAGGTAAAATTAAACCAGAATGGAGCTCCTCATGTGAAAGATACAAAGCGAAAAATGCTTCATTCAGGGCAAATTAAGAGAGAATGAGAAAGAGGAAATATTGATGGAATATAATGTGATGTGATGAGATAAGATGTGTGATATGATGTGACGTTATATGGTATGATGCGATGGAATGGTGACTGCAAAGTATAGCAGTTCTAAAAGTACAAACTGAGCAAACTGAAGAATGCATTAGTCAGCATACATTTTGTATTGTCCACAACACCATAATGTGAATATAACATAACTTCCTGAAGAAGAAAGTAAGAAAAAAACAGAGGGCATGAGACAATAGTAGAGACAAAGGGCCCCAAAATAGTAATACAAAGTTGACAATGCAATGATCGTGCACTTCTAGTCTATCGCGAAACTTCTACTGCCCATCTACCAACCTCATAAAGAATCGTGTTGTACAATCTACATCTATCACGTTGTGTGTCTCTTGCCAGTCTTTTTGTGCATATGTAAGACGATAGTATGGCATCCGGACTCTATGCCGTGATCTTTTGTCTGGCCAAGTCTACAAATACTCCAAATGGATAGTTATCCCTTCGTAGAGCAAGTCTATCAATCCATTCTCACACTTTTCCACTTCTGTTGTCATCTAATCACTCATCTATTCCATTTCGAAGCTGGCAGTAATGGAATTCTCACAGTTCTACAGGAGGGTTTTCAGGAGTAGAATTAGCGGTGATACCATGGGGAACAAAATAGGTATAGTGAAGTAAGTTTAGATGAATCAACAAAGCTGAGATCGGTAGGTGTAAAAAGATGGAGGATAGAGACTACAACAAAGGCAGTCGAAGAGATTGACGTCCAAGCAGAAGAACAAGGAAGACGGCGAAACGGGTTGAGGAGAATAAGGCACAAATAGGGGCTAGAGATGGATATTCAGATAATATTCGTCACCAAGGCAACGGCATGTGTGGTCAAAAAGGATAATATGGACGGAAATCTGAGAGGAGTTTCTGCTTTTTAGAAACTAGCCCAACGTGAAAAAACAACAGAGCTATGGCTCTGAAGGAGGCTGAAACAAAAGAGCAATGGCCAAATGAAAAGAAGGAATGAGAGTGTCGGGTAGACGAAAAGCGGACTAAACAGGCGGGCGGGAAGATACAGAGCTGGTACGATTAGCTAATCAAATGATTTGGCTCGGCAATCGGTACTAATGAATAACAACGAAGACCTGAAGCAGTTGGAGGCTAATGGATAATGAGAAAATGGATAGCCGCCTAACTACCGATCAACAAAGCTAAAGATGCTGTATGTATACAAGAATGTTCTCACCCCTCTCCAGAGCTAGGGGCGTCCTGATTACATGTGCTCGATATGTCCAGTTGACAAGGCCTCCTAAATTGATCCATGAAAGTAGCTAGGTCAAAATAGCTCCAAGCTGAACAACCCACCAAAGAGGCTTGCTGCAACACTATATTTGGGTATGATAGAGATGAGTTGGTGCTTGAGGAACCAGCCAACAGAGGATCAAGTGATATGAGTACAACAGGAGATGTGGACATATGAAGAAAAGCTGGGTTTCGAAGACTCCTTTAGTAGATTGACATTGGCATATCTTCATTTCGTTTGAGAAGGTGGGTGGAAGGGATTCGTAGCTCGGCCTCACTTGTATCTCACTGGACTTTTGCCAACAGACAAAGGTCCAAGGCAATCCTCCTTCGGTATCCGGTGCGACCAAGCTACGAATCACTTCCACCCGCCTTCTCAAACGAAAGTAAAGGCATGCCAGTAGAAAATCTGGACAAATTTTAACCTGCCGTCTCGGTGGCAAAGTGTCGTTAGGCCTCTGGGATGGAGGCTTATTTTATGGC